GCAGGAGCTGCATGGCCGGAACCTCCTGGCTGGGCAGGGAGCACAGCGAGGCAGGGCCGGGGTCGAGCAAGGGCGAGGCACGGAGCCGGCCCGGAGCAAGCAGGAGGCCCGCTTGTGTGGCACGGGGGCTCCGGGGAAAGGGCTCGTCCTCGTGCAGGGCTTCCCAGGGCTCCCGGCTCAGGCTCACCTCCTCCGTAGCTGGCACCCCAGAGCAGCCCAGATCCTGATGTTAATGTGAGGCAAATTCAGCCACAGATGTCCTACAGAAGCCCGGCTGGAATTCCTGGGGGCTTTAGGGGAAGGAAGCCGTTCCTGCTCATTCCAGCGGGGCCACTCGCAACAGCTTCCCGGAGAACTGGGCAACATGAGCCAGATCAGCTGCGATGAAAGAAACACCACATCTCTTGCCTCATCCTGGCTCAGGCGAGGGCTGCCTGGGATGCTTATCTGATATATTAATCACTATCAGATCTATCAGATCTATTAGCCACTGGAAAATATACAGACACCTGCGATCTGATGCTATCCAGTCATCCCATCCCCTTCTGGAGAGGTGATGGACTGTCTACAGGTAAAGGGCCAAAAATGTTGGCCAGGCAAGAGAGCCCTTGCCTCTTCAGTCATAACTGATTCCTGAGATTGCTGGAGGATACACAAGTGCGTATTATTGGGCCTCACTGAGTGGCACCTTCTGATAACCTGCCCTTCAGGAGATTTAGGAGTGTGTCTCCAGGGAATGGAAGAGCACCGTGACGTCCACCCAACGCAAAAGCGTGTTGGGTGCGGCTCGCCCAAGTTACTTTGTGGGCAGGCCGGAGAGCCGGGTGCCTTTAAAAGGCATCTTTCGACTCATCTGGGCAACTAGCTCCTGGAGCTGGTAAAGGCCAGGAACCAAGAAATGCCCTGACTTTGTTCTTCTCCCACAATCAACTGAGGGGCAAAACTCCCGCTGAAGATCTAACCCTCCAAAGGTGGGGAGAAGAGGTCCTCCACAACAGCCAGCACGAAACAGGTGGGTGCACCTGACTTGTAGCTCCCTGTATGAACGCTTGAGAGAGAGACGACCTCAGCCACCCTGCCTCCGGGTTTTGGTAGGACTGAACTGCCTGCACCTGGCAGGGGTGGCTGTGAGATGAGCCTGCGGGGCCCTTCTGGCAAGCTGGGTCCTTGAGCCTCGAGAAAGCATCCTAGCCTCTGGCTCCCCTTGCGCATGAGCGAAAGACGCTGTATGGGCAGTTCAGTGCGCAGCCTGTGAGGAGCATTCAAGGGGACACGGTGCCAGGGCAGCCTGGGTTAAGGGCTGGTCATTTTCTGAGCAACACTTTTTGGTCCTTGCGTAATTTTAGGGGATGGTGTCTTTAGCACAGTGCACCGCCCCCTTGTGGAAATCATAGCAAGTGAGAAACTGTCTGAGGACTCTGAGCGAAATTGTCCTGATGGCTCCAAACAAGGCGAGACAAGACAGATGCTGTAGGGACACCAAAGAACATGCTGGCACCCTCGCCCAATGAAGGCTGCAGTCCTATCCACGCTTGCTGGGGAGCGAGCCCCATAGAATTCCATGGGATGCCCTTCTCTGTTGATGTCATGGATGCTGCCTGGACGGCTTTTTAGCAGAGAAGGTGACATGGTTAATAAACAAGCAAATCTCCGGAAGGTTTGCTGTTGGTATTTTTACTTAGGGATAGATGCCTAGTGCATAAGCAAAATACTTTTCACACCTTTGCTGGGAAGGTGTGGATGTGCGTGCCTCTGGATCTGGGTAAACCCCTTCCGCTATTGCTGTCTCAGCACGAGGGTGGGCAGGTGGAAGCCCCTCAGGTGTCGTGGCCTAGAATTCCTTCCAGCCCCAGCCGGCACAGCCAAGGGTGCGGGCTGGTGGGGCTACAGAGGCTCTTCTGTCCCCTTCTTACAGGCCGGCATGGTTCGCAGAGTCGCGGTCGTGGGGGCGGGCAGCAGTGGCCTCACCGCCCTGAAGTGCTGCTTGGAGGAGGGCCTGGAGCCCACCTGCTTTGAGCGAGGTGAAGACATTGGGGGGCTGTGGAGGTTCCAGGTAAGTCGGCCTCTGCCTCCCTGCACCTGGGCAAAAGCGCGGCATGGCCGGGTGCCTCGAGCTGTGTGCCAGCATCCAGAGAAGGGAAGGCCAGCTCTTCTGCTTCAGGACGTCCGCTTAAAGCATTCCTGAAGAAACCAAGGGAGGTGCTCAGGTGAATAACAGGTAGCCTGGCTCAGGAGCTGCACTGGGTAAAGAAATGTGGCACGTTTCGGAGATGAAAAGCTGCCAGATCCCCGAGGACCGTGGCCTCCGTAAGGCTTGCCAACTAGCTGTGGCAGCTGCGTGGAACTTCTGCCGGGCAGAGAAGGAGATACGGATGTGGCCCCGGGTGGGGCATGGGGGAAGCTGCCTGCTGGCCCCAGGGCTCCCAGTGGGGTTTTCTCCTGCCCTCCGTTTAGTCCCCGAAAGAGCTCCTGGAGGGCCGGACGTCCAAGGGCTCGGGCTTCCGCAGAGGCACCAAGAGGGCAGAACTCTCCCTGCTCCCTTCCAGGGCCCCTTCAGTCCTTCCACAAGGGTGCCCAAAGCACATTTGGAAAGGCTGGGAGCGTCTGTCAGCATGCCATAGTTTTTCATACTTGGCGGAACATGCGTTTTTATCCCATCGCATTTGACAGGCGACAGGCAAACCAGCTTCAAAGTTGGTGCAAGGCTGTAAGCTTCATATTTGGGTCTTGCCACAATCAAGACTTATCAGGAGGTCTCCATGACCTAAGCCATTCAGGGTAGAAGTTTCACGGTAAAAGCACAAAAATTTATATTTTGACTATGGAAGCTTTCACCCAAGCTTTTCACCCAATAAGAGACTCAGAAAGTTCAGCAGACTCTGAATATTTCCTTTAATTCTTCTCCAGAATGTTTGGTTGCTTATCGTCCATACCCAGCAGCCCCTTCTGGCCCCCCCAAGGCTTGAGCTGTACTGCCACGATCCCCCCCCCCCCGTCTCCAGCGGGCTATTTTCCCTCCCCGCTTGCCCCAGCATGCCTTGCGTCCTCAGGGATCCCCTATATGGGAGCCCGCCAGGGGACGGGAAGCCTCCCCTCTTCTTGGTCAGTGTTTCCATCATCTCCTGATATACCGATCGCGGAGGAGAGAAGTGGTGGGCAAGCCAAGGGCAACTGCCTGTCTTGACATGCCTTGAAACTCCACCTTGTAGCCACATTTTGGCCACCCCTGAGCCCAGAGCTGCCATGAATTTAAGCCACCGATTTGCAGCTTGAATTTGAGCTAGAGACGGAGCGACGGCGTTCTGCCAGCACCCATCTCTACCCCAGTTACTTTGCCATTGCAGAGCGGACGGCCACGGGCTTCGCATGACCCTTGCATTCGCTCAGTTCCGCCGGGTGCAAGCAAGTGCCCCCCCCAGCCCTCCCCACCCGCCCCAAAGAGGCCAAGAGACGGGTCCTCGCGTCCCGCTATGGTCTCCAGTCCAGCAGCGTCTGCCCATTTTGGAAGCGCGCCACCAAAGCCCTGGTTTTGCACACACGAATCAGCTCCCCCCGCCCCCCGCAGGAGCATGACATCGAGGGCCAGGCCAGCATTTACAAGTCACTGACCATCAACACCTCGAAGGAGATGATGACCTACAGCGACTTCCCCATCCCGGAGGACTTCCCCAACTACATGCACCACAGCAAAGTCATGGAGTACTTCCGGATGTATGTGAAGCGCTTCGACCTGCTCCGCCACATTCGCTTCAAGGTGAGGAGGGTCACTCTATGCCCTGGCTCATTAGACAGCCCCCGGACAGAGAGGGAGCCCAAAACGGCACAGAAGGACCCGGCAGCAAAAGGCAACCCACGCTCCTTTTGCGGGGGAAATCCCGCCCCGGCAGAATAAACACGCCAATGGCGGATGTACGACGTGCCCTGGCTATTTGCAGGGCTATTGCCTTATCGTATCTCCATCCTGCCAACTGCGAAATCTGCTGGGGGGCTTACGTGACTCTGCACAGCAACATTACTAGCAGGGTTCGCAGATTTTCATTGGAAAGCGGTTCTGTTTGTTTCACCGACTGTTTAGCCCCTCACCTGGACCCCACAGCACAGTGCCTGGGTGGGGGAAATGCCCCCACGGCCCGGGCAAGCCGCTCCACCCCACCTGCACTCGCGAGCGGCGCTGCGGTGATTCCCAGCACGAGGCAAGGGGGAGCGGACGGCTCTCCCTCTTGGCCCGCGTTCCGGTGCCGTCCAGTGGCCTGGCTTTGCAGGGCAGGCCTGTCCCCTCTTTGACCGTGGAACGGGTGTCGCGCACACTCCGCTTCTGGGGCTCCACCGCAGAGTCTGTTCTGCGGTTCTGGAATTCGCAAACAAGCAGCAGCAAGACAACACAACACAACACAAGATCGGGCCAGCTGAAGCCTGCCTGGAGACCCCCAGGGTGGAGCTGCAGGGCTGAGGCGCCGGCAGGGCCAGCCCCCCCCACAAGGCAGCCAAGAGCCTCACCCTAGGCGGTGGGCCAGGAGGGGTGGCGGACTGGGGCCGGCCCCCCTTCCTGCCCACTGCAGTCACCTGCTGCCCCCACCTGCTCTTGGCCCGTGCACCCCACTGCAGATCGCGTCCGGCCGGTCTCCTGAGGCTTTTCTGAGGGAGGGAGGGAGGGGCGGCACGGTGGCCGAAGCCACGAATCCAGAGTCCACGTCTGAGCAAGGAGGGGAGGCAGCCGCTCACCCCCCCCCCGCCCACTGCCAGGCAGCGCTAGCAGGGTGCCGGCTGTGTGGTGCTTCCATATTTGCAGGAGCGCCCTGGGACCCTCCAGAAGGGCTGCTTTTCTTGGAAGGACTGCTCCGGCATGGAGGGCCCTCCGCCAGGCACAATCCAGGCCCAGATTGCAACCGTCTGCAAGAAACAGCTCTCCCCTGTGCTCGATATTATGCACAAGACCAGCCACCAGGACCATGCGCAGGGCCCCCGCGGCCACCCCGCCCCACAGCCCCTCGGCAGCGTCTCCAGGCAGGCCTTCAGAGCGCACGGTTCAGGAGGCGCTTCCATTCACGCCCTTCGCTGAGATGAAAAATTCGTATTTAGCCAAGCCTAACAGCCGCCCCCTCTGTTAAAGGCCCGTGTCTGCCACATCAGAAAATGCCCGGATTTTGCCGTCACCGGCCAGTGGAAGGTCACGACAGAAGTGCACGGGAAGCAGGAGTCGGCCACTTTTGACGCCGTCCTGGTCTGCACCGGCCACCACATCGACCCTTATTTTCCTCTGGACTTGTTTCCCGGTAGGTTTCCTGGTAGGTTTCCCGGTAGGTTTCCCGGTAGGTTTCCTGGTAGGTTTCCTTGTAGGTTTCCTGGTAGGTTTCCTGGTAGGTTTCCTTGTAGGTTTCCCGGTAGGTTTCCCGGTAGGTTTCCTGGTAGGTTTCCTTGTAGGTTTCCCGGTAGGTTTCCCGGTAGGTTTCCTGGTAGGTTTCCTTGTAGGTTTCCTGGTAGGTTTCCGCGGGACTCTGCGCCCACATCCCCTGGAAGCGCTGCAAGAGCTGCGCTCGGAGAGCGCAAACACGTTTTGTTCCCGTGCTGCGCTTGCTTGGTGTGATGGCTTCTGGGTGTCGGAGCGCCTGTGTGCTCGTCCTGTACGCTGTGTGTGCGAGATTGTGTGAGTGTGTCTGCCCCCCCACCTTTTGGCTGTGGCCCCGATCTCGCAAAGGTTGTACAGGTCATGGCCCCCTGACTGAAAAGCGTTTCTCGTGCTTGGCCTGCAGCCAAAGAAACGCTTCTGATCCTAGGAATTCTCTGCATGTGACACAGACTCGCAATTCCCGGGTTGTGAGAAGGGCCCTCTGTAGTTGAGTTGGGATCTTCCCGCCTGCCCCGTTTAAAGGCACCTCCGGGCCCCTCTGGAACGCCCAGGACGATCCGGCTGTGGAAGCAGGGCAGGCGTGGGGCTGGGAAGCGGGGTGGGCAGCATGGCCCCCCAGACCTTTGGGCAGGCTGCCCCCCTGTCCCTCCCTCTTCCCCACCGCCATTGTCCGGGTTGCAAGACGCCGAGCTGATTGTCCTCTGGCCCTCGCTTTGGACTCAAGGCAACTATCGTGGGAGAAATGAGTGTGCTGAGCAAACAGACGTGGCCCGGGGAAACAGGCTGAGCGCCTCGGGAGGACCCGCGGTCCGTGCGGGCCCCGGTGGCTGGCTGGGTTCGTTTTGTTTAAGCTCGGAACAGTGCTCCCGTCCTGCACAGGGCCGGGGGCCAGGCTCGGCCAGCACGGTGACTTACCTGCCGTCACGTAACGCACCCCAGCAGGTGTGACACGGGCAGCCGGGTCTGTTTCCTCACGGCTCTGCCTCGCAGCTCGGCGCCTAGGCTAAGGCTGAACAGGTGAGGAGGGCTGAGCAACCTCGGCCTTACTGCTCATCGGTCGGTTACTGTAATGACCCCCCAAAACGCTGTCTCGGAACAATGGCTCTGGCCGCGCACCCCAGAAAGCGGCGCTGGTGGTGACCGGGGGACACCTCGGCACGTCGTCCCCTGCGCTGCCAGCCACACGGAGGTTCCTGGGAGCCGGGGGGCCTCCGCTCCCCCACCTCCTCAGCTGCGAGGGGCACCTGCCCAGCACCCCAGGAATAGCATCCTTCCCTCTGCTTGTCTTCTCCGCAGGCATTGAGAAGTATAAGGGGGAAATTATACACAGCCGGGAATACAAGGAACCTGCCAAGTTCCAGAGCCGGCGCGTGCTTGTCATCGGCTTGGGCAACTCTGGGGCCGACATCGCGGTGGACCTCAGCCACGCCACGAAGCAGGTCAGCTCCCTCGGCCCTCGCTCGCCTGGCCAGTCCCCAAGCGTCCGGGTGCACTGGGCCTTTTGGCTGATCCGGCCACACTCAGTCCGCCTGATCCCCAACAGAGCGGCCGGTTTCTCTTCTTGATCTGGTGAATGCTTACTTGGCAGTAACTCCCATGAGAAGTAGCAGTTCCTCTGTACTCCTCGCTAGTCAGACCTCACCTGGAACACCGTGTCCAGCTCTGGGCACTGAGATTTAAGAAAGATGCAGAAAAAGTAGAAAGGGTCCAGCAGAGGGCAGCAAAACTGAGCCAGAATTTGGAAACGCTGCCCTGTGAGGAGAGACGAGAGAACTGGGCATGTTCAGCCTTGGGAAGAGAAGGCTGAGGGGGGACATGCCATCCCTCCATAAGTCCCTTAAAGACTGTCACAAGAGGAAGGGTCAAGATCTCTTCTTGATGTTACCAGAGTGTAGGACACGGAATCATCAGTTCAGGTTGTGACAACCCAGATTCAGGCTGGACATCAGGAAAGGCTTCCTCACTGCCGGAACAACACGACAGTGGGACTGGCTGCCCGGATGGGTGGGGGGCTCTCCCACACTGGAGACACTCAAGACGAAACTGGGCGGCCACCTGAGTGGGAGGGTGTGACTTGGTGTCCTGCAGCAGCAGGGGGATGGACTTGATGGCCTTCATGGCCCCTTCCGACTCTGCTATTCTGTGATTCTAGTCAATGGGCCGTTGGACAAAACGGGACACAATGTGAAGTCCTCAGGTCGCTCTCCCAAATGCGCATTTTAACGCGAATCATTTTGTGATGTGGAGCAGAGGACAAGAATTACTGCCTAATGCTCCCCCCTTTTGGGGGTAAATACAGTGGTACCTCGGCTCATGAACTCAAACCGTTCCAGGACTCTGGTTGCGACCCAAACTGGTCATGAGCCAAGTTAAATGTCCCCATAAGGGTCAATGTAAATAAGGTTAATCCGTTCTGTAGCTTTTTTTTTTTAATCAAAAAAATTTGAAATGGGCACGCGCGGGGGGGGGGGTGGCAAGCGTGATTGCGGGCGCACTCGGGCGGAGAGATGGGTGCGATCGGGATCATCACCTGATGTGGAGTTTGAGACCTGAGGCAAAATTTTTCAGAAATTTCTGTTCGCGTCCCTATTTAGTCGTGAACTGAGGCGTTCGTGAGCTGAGGTACCACCGTACCCTTCTTCTACTCCTTGGCCACATTCCGGGGGAGAAATACGCTGGGACCTGTACATCTTCCCACTATGGGGAAACCTGGAATAATGATTCCTCCATCTGTAATCTGAAGTGGTACAGTCCTTCCGTGCACACGAGGACTCTACCATGCCACCCCCACCCCATCCTGATCCATGTGCAGGTGTAAATGGGCTGTGCTGGAGGCATCGCGAATGGCCTGTGGCCACGGGCTCGTCGTGGCTCCATTTCTGCCCCTTTGCCTCCGACAGGTCTTCCTGAGCACCAGAACGGGCAGCTGGGTGGTGAACCGTGTTTCGGACGATGGGTACCCTTTGGACGTGGTGCACTTCACGCGCTTCAGGAATCTGCTGTACCACACGCTGCCCAAAGCGCTGGTCAATTTCTGGGGAGAGAGTAAGCTGAACATGAGATTCAACCACGCGAACTATGGTTTAAAGCCCCAGCACAGGTAATGCTGGAATTTCCCCAGACTCTGCGATTTAGGAAGGGCGGGAAAGGGATAGCCCAACACTGCGGCTTTCTCACGCATGGAACGTCAGGGAGCTGTTTGTTTTGCGGCTTCCGTGTGTAGCAGGGAGAGGTTTGTCTTTCTCTCAGCCCAGCGTGGAAATGCACTAAAATGCCGGTGGGGGCAGAATCATCCGCACAGCCTCTGGCAAAAACCACCTCATTCCCACTGCAGCCACCTTTACCGGAAGGCTTCCGAAAGCTGCACATTTCACCTTTGTGAGGTCCTGCTTGCACCTCCGCCTCCTTCCTGCTTCTCTCTGCTGGACTTCGCCTGTTGAGCTCCTGTCCGCTGGGCGACATCACACTATTGAAGCTCAAAGGCAGATCGATCCATTGGGCAATCAAGGAGCTGTTGCAAGTGTGACTCTAAACCTTTCATCATTTGGAGGAAGGCAAACATTGGCCTGTTTGCGTTTTAATGCCGGCTTGCTTAGTTTGCAGCCTCAAAACCAACATGTGAGGCAAAGCATAGCTATGCCTTGATATTTGCACTTCTCAGAACGTGTGATGTTTCACAAACTACATATATAATGTATATATTAGAGGAAAGTGGAAAAATATACAAATGTCCCGTTACTGGAAATTCCTAGCGAAATGTGCATATTAGGCAAAATAGGGTAAAATGGGTATAATAAGAGAAATGCACACAAATTGCGTATGACATTTTGTGCAGACATGTGCAAAATTCAGAAACTGATAGGAGATGATTAGAAGGATTAGCTTATGATTAGAAAAAGAACCGCAGAGAAACCAAAATTTGCCCGTTGCCCCTTTTAAGCCACCGCGTTACGTCCAGGTGCTGCCTCTCTCTCCTTTGCCTGGCAGGTTCCTCAGCAGGTATCCGATTGCAGCTGATGACCTTCCAAACGCCATCATTGCTGGCCGGGTCCTGATGAGGCCGCAAGTGAAGGAGTTCACTGAGAGAGGTGTGATCTTCGAAGACGGCAGCAGGGAGGAAAACGTGGACGTCGTGATCTTTGCCACAGGATACACATTCTCTTTCCCATTCCTTGAAGAGGGCATCGTCAGCAAAAGGGGCAACCAGACACCCCTGTATAAGTTTGTCTTCCCACCACATCTGGAAAAGCCAACCCTGGCTCTGATTGGCCTTCTCCAGCCGCTGGGAGCCATCATGCCGATATCTGAGCTCCAGGCTCGCTGGGCCACACGAGTCTTCAAGGGTAAGAGAGAACAACGCGGGATGCCCCTGAGTCATTGCCCTGCTTGGTGTGAAGTTTGGGCTGGTCCCGGACCTATGGAGACCCCATGCCTGGAAGCCCCCCAGATTTCCCTATGCTGAGCTCTGCTCAGCTCTTGTAAATTCCAGGCCGTGGCTTCCTTGATGGAGCCCACCTGCCCCACCTGGTCTTCCTTTTCTTCTTCTGCCTTTGACTTTCCCTAGCAGGATGGTCTTCTCCAGTGGGTTTTGCCACCTCATGATGAGTCCACCTCAAAGGATGACAGGATGACACTTGGTCATTTTTGCTTCCAGGGAACGTTCTGGCTTGAGCTAGTTCAATAGCGGTGATTAGTAAATCCCCAGATTTGTGAAGGGGGCTGCCATCCACACGTCTTGTTGTGCTTCCCCCCTAAGCATCACAGTGATCACCGCCCACCGCCTGAAAGCTTTGAGGGCCTGCATTGTTCATGGTAAAAGGAGCACAAATCTAGCTGCCTGAAGAAGGCACTGGAGTCCCTGCTGGTCTCCGCAGGGAGAAAGATATTTTTGGTGGCCTACAGAGAGAAGGTCACAGGGCGCTTTGACTCAGGTGAAGGGAGCTCCATGCCGAAATATAAAGGGACAAGATGAAGGAGAAGGAAGCTGCCAGCTTAGCTTTGGCGGAAGTGAGAGGGCAAAGAAAGAGCAGCAGGTCGGGCAGGTGCTGCCCAGGAACTTGGGTGGAGCCCCCTCTGAGGGGGTGGAAGGGGCAGGTGGGCCTGCCGAATTTGGTGCAGGGGCACACGACCCAATAGAACTGGGCAATCCAGGAGAGAAAAGTGTTGAAGATAACGCCCGGGTGGTCCAGCAGGCAGTGCCGCCTAGTGTGAAGAAGGTCCAAAGAGGGGAGGGCTTTGCGGAGAAACGCGCAGGTTGCTCAGCGCCCTCCCAGGTGCGATTCCGCACACGCAGGCTGCACTTGGGGAGCGGATGCAGAGAGTGGTCTCAGTCCTGGGCACACAGCGTGTGCGAGGGCATCGGGCTGGACAGGCGGAGCTGAGGCAGAAGGCAGGGATTGGCCTTCCCTGGGCGGGGGTGGGGGGGAGGAAGGAGGGGTGCCGAGGGCAGAAGCTGCCGAAATGGAGGCACTGGCTTTTCCACAGCTTTTCCGACAACACGCTGCCATCCTGTCACTGGCCTTTGACTCCATCTCTCTTTTGTAACTTGAGAACAGCCACGGCTTTTTAAAAAGTGTATGAAGTCGTGGTTCTTGTACGTTGAGAATCAGATCGGAAAAGGATGAGCAGGTATAAAAGAAGGGAACGAAGAGGGGGGAGTGATGGAAGTTCCCAAGTGCCAGGGAAACAAGGTCGTATTGTTTCCCTACCCATTTTGGACGGTCTGTTTGCCGGCATTTCCCCCTCTTTGCTCCCTCCTTAAATTGCGAACAGCCTCCGTGTTTGACCCCTCGGCAGCTACGAGGACTGCAGAAGTCCCCCCAAACTGCGGCTGGTTCTGCTCCTCAGCCCACCCCTGGGGGGCGGGGGGGGGGGCTGAGAGGGCTGCAGCAGCGCCAGAAGCTCAGGCGCATGTGATTTTTCAGGCCTGATCCGCCTGCCTTCGGAAGAGGCGATGCTGGCTGACATTGAGAAGAAGACCAAGTATAACGAGAAACGGTAGGGAGCGCCGTGCCCCTCGGCGTCACTGGGGGGCACAGGCCTGGTGGGGGGCCTGCTGCAAGCCCACTTTAAGCGCCTGGATGCTTCGCTGCAGCGGAACTGACTCTGCGCAGAGGAGAGATGGCGCTTCCGCTTGCTCCCGGGGCCACGAGACTTCTGCTGCCCGGAGCCACCGACGTGCTGAGCTGCCTGCCCCCGAGCGCCTGCATGGGGCAGGGAAAGGAAGGCAGAAGCCAAGAGAGTGGGGGCCAGGAGGGGGCTGGTGCCTTTTCGGAGCGCGGTTGCCCTTTGGGGACACGGCTCAGAAGCAGCAGCTCCGCTGTCTGCCGCAGGGAGTCTCTGCCTCCGCAGTTCTCTGACCATACAATTTTGGCTAGAACAGCTGATATGCCAAGGCCCCAGGCCGCCCCTGAACCGACCCGCTGCGCATGGAGGGGGGGGCCAGCGAAGTGCGGGGGCAGTGGAGCGGGGCCACACGGTGTGCGGCTGAATGTGGCCAGGCCCAGCTCAGGTGCCGGGCGTGTGGCTGGCGGCGCGGGGTGACGCGGTGCAGGCGGAAGAGATGCTGGCGGGGGGGGGGGGGGGGGCGGGGGGTTCTGCTTTTTAAGCCGCCCGGGGCTTCCTGCGACGGGGGCGGCCTAACGATGCTATAAATAAATAAATAAACAAATAAGCCCGCCCCTTCCCCCTCCCTGTCCCCAGGTATGCCCCGAGCCACCACGTCTTCCTCCAGGTGCAGTTTGTCGACCACATGGACGAGCTGGCCGAGCTGTCGGGGGTGAAGCCCAGCCTGCTGCGCCTCCTGCTGATGGACCCCGTCCTGGCCTGGGAGGTGTTTTTCGGGCCCTGCTCGCCCATGCAGTTCCGCCTGACCGGGCCTGGGAAGTGGGAAGGGGCCCGGTGTGCCATCCTGGGCCAGAAAGCGAGGATCATCAAGGCCACGAAGACACGGGCCCCGCAAACGGCGGCCGCCGTCCCTTCCGTGCCGTCCCTCTGCATCAGGGCGCTGGGCTGCGTTGCCCTCACGGCACTCCTGTTCGCCTTTCTGTGATCTGCCCTCGCCGCGCCCGCGGAAAGGCAGCGCCTGCGGTCGCCACGGGCACCTTCAGCTGCCCCTTGGTCACTGCGCACACGCCCTTCTCGCTCCGGGGCACTTTTGCATGTTAACCACGGCAAATGCTGATCAAAATCCAGGCTACCTGAACATGCGTGGAGCAGCGCCAAGGCGAGTAGGAAATGGAGCGTGCTTTTCTGCACTGCAGAAGCCCCGTATTTAGATGCGGAATATCACACCGGCACAATTTCAGCAGAAACTCCTGCATATTGATATTATCGCTGGCTTCCTAAGCAACAGGGGAATAATGCAAACGATGCCCGCCAATGCTGGTTTCGCCTACGTTTCCCAGCCTCCCAGCACCAGCCTTTGGCAAGCTCGCAGCACTGTGGGGCGGGCCCTCAGAGCCGCCCTCCCTCGTGCCACGGTGCCTCCCATCGATTCCGGGGTGCTTCGCAGGAGGTCCCGGGGGCTCTCACGCGGCAGCAGCGAGTCTCCGTACTCCCTGCTCCTTCCAAACATGATGTGAAAATATCCCTGCAAAACATGAGAGCCCGGGACTCTGCCTTCTGTTCCTGAGCCTACTGCTGCTGAGTGGGTTAGTGGGAAAGAGAAGATGGCGCTGCTTCCGGCCGCTCCCTTTTCATTCCACCTGTGCAGACCCGTCCCAGTGCTCCCCCCCTGGCGGGGTTCTGCCCCTCCTCATGGTGTCTCTTCCCTCCGCCGCCCTCACAACCCCGCTGGTGGCTTCTCCCCTCTGAGCCGGCAGCCGCGGTCTCGCCACTTGGCTGCTTCCCCCCACCATGACTTGGCACCAGCCGGCAGCAGCACCCGCTGGGGAGGCCGCAGGTCCAGACAGGCTGGGGACCCACCCACCGGCCCATGCCTCGCTGTTCCGACCTGGTCAACAAGCTGCTCAGATCCTTCCCCAAATGGTTCCCCCTCGGGAACACAAACACCCATGATCCTCTTCTGTGGTGGAATAAGATGGCAGAAACTTACACCCTGTTCTTTATGAGCTCCATTTTACATGCTACCCAGAAACATAGA